TTATTTCTAGACCGGATATACCATTGCAACGTGTATGATGCAGTTTGATAAATGTGCTTTTATGACGCCCCATTGCTTGTCTAACATTGAATGTTTGAGAGCTGGGCCGACAAAGTACTGATTTTCCTCTACAGTAAATAGCATTTAAGGCATAGTTTGATGCTATATAAATCTGCCTTTCAGTTGAAATACTTGGCCCTTGTTGACATCTTTCCTCCCCTGTAATCATTCATCAGCTGATGTCACAGGCTGCGGTCAGAGCACGCTAATGTTCTGCCAAACCACAAATATGAGCACACACACACACACACACACACACACACACACACACACACACACACACACACACACACACACACACACACACACACACACACACACACACACACACACACACACACAAAGCCAAACACAGAAAACACAGTGTAATTGTAAATCAATAAACAATTAAGGTACCACCATCATAACACACTGCTCACTGACCTCAAATCCCTCGGCGGCGACTGTGTCTCCATTTTCCCGTTGTGTTTGTAAGAGGGCAATAATGAAATGGGTTCTCATCTAATATGTGGACACTCGCCAAAACAAAGCCTCGGAGTATGTGGTAAAGATAAAGCTGAAATGTGTTTGTTTCTTTTCCTGCATTGTCAGACTGGAAATCATTTACAATTCACTGTGATGAATTATGAGCTTTTTTTAAAACCTTACCATTAAAACATTGTGGGAGTGGCATACGTAATATTTGACCAGCTTGACAGGAGAGCTAAGACAACAAATGACCACAGTTTATCCTGACTTTGTTTAATATTTCTTATATTTAATATTAAAACTTCATAACATTTTTAATGACAGTATACTAAAGGAACATTTTCAAAAAAAATTCTATGAGGACTTTTGCCCCCAAATTTGTCATTGTTTTTTTTTATGAGATATTTTGGCTGTATAAAGAGCCTATACACAGCATAATTATATATAACACATTTTTGCTCAACATTTTACTTAAAGGGGACCTATCATGCAAAATGCACTTTTGTACGTCTTTTATACATGAATATGTGTCCCCGGTGTTCCAGGGAACTCACCAAGTGTCAGAAAACACAACCCTCTCTATTTTCCTCCATACCCAAATCTCTAAAAAAGGGGCTGCAACGGATCTGATACAGACTGATCCAGATTTGAACACTTCTATGACGTCACAGAAGTGGCGCTACGGCTATTGGGCCAACCCTCCACCTATCAGGGGAATGTGGGGCTGGGCCACGGCCGGCCATTGCTGCTCGAAAGCGCTGGAGACGCTGTAGTACATATGCCAGGCTTGTAAGTGGCACTGTAGTCTGCCACAAAATCAGCGAAGAAGACTTCCCGCGCATATGGTAACCATGGTTACCCTTCTGTTTATTCTCCGCTGTGGCTTTTTTTCTCCCTCCCCGAGGCAAGCGTTTGCTCCTGCTGCTTTATTTCAATGCAATCCCTCCCCGTCGAGGCAAGCACTGTAATTCTCTCCGGTTAGTCCGCAGCAGATGACAAACACCCACCTCTCCGCCTCTTCCAAGGAACGAGGGGACCGTGCAGCAGAGTTTCAGTTTCAGTTTCTTTCGCCGGTCAAGATATCCGTTAAAGTTTAAATCTTCCGGACAAAATTAGTGCCGGTCAAAGGTCTTCTTTGTTATTTATTGAGCTTTAAAACAAATGAATAACGACTCTATAGGCCTATAATAATATAATAATACCATAGACTGTATATATAAATAAAACATGGAGGACGGAGATCTTTTTTTCTCCCCCTCTTGACTTGATCAGAGCACGGCTTCCCTCTCCTGCAGGGGGGCGTGGTCTCACAGAATCAGCCCCGTAGACAGCAAACAGCACATAGAGCGAAAATGAGGCATGGCTAAAATGCATGATCTGTTTGGTATTTTGAAAACAGAAATGTATAAATATACCTTATATAGGTATGGCCCTACAATATATCATTTAAATATAGCATGATAGGTCCACTTTAAGTATGCAACCTTGATTGCTACCCTGTTAATACCTATATGCACATAGTTTTAATGTAATGTTTGTCCCATCATGGTGTGATTTAATGTGAGGTAATTACATTTGTCGTGCATTCTCATCCCAAAAGGTTAAAGCTATTTTACTGCAACATCTCTGGTTTGATCCCTGCTGAGGACAGTGTTTCTCTGTCCGCCTCCATGCTATCGGCTCACTATAAAGAAATGCTTTTTTCTAAACAACTATGGTTGTCAAACAGCATGTTCTCTCTCCTCTAGAAAGACACATAATACGTCTCTGAGCAGTTGATCTTATGCTCAGTACATTAGACACAGCTTGATCTCTGCGTTCCCAGAATACATTATACAAGTTGAGGGTAAATCTTTTGGCAGGTCAGACGGGAGGACATGCAACAGTTTTAATTTATTTTTAGGAGCAGGTGTTCTTTCATCAAGACCACTGCATTGGAGAACAAGGTTTGGCTTGAAGACAGCCTTTGGCAAAACAAATAAATGCTGGGTCACAGAGCAAAGAGGTGATCCAGTCGTCCTTCGCTGCTGCAGAGTCTAAACTCTAAACTCTTCTGACAATGCACCAACCGGCCAATCAAGGACATGAAGGTGCCCTTTTCCAGGTAAATTATCTAGTAGCAGGGTGCTAATTATACTGTTTGCCTGGCAAGTGATGACACAGCGGATCAAATTATTGTGATGCCTTTCAAGAGTGGCAAAATCTCGAAGAAGTGCCTTCCCCTTCCAATTCAAAGGTTAGATTTTTTGGGCAATTTTGGCTCTTTTAACTTTCTTCAGTAGAATTACTTCTAGGTTTGTTTCTGGGTAAGTAGAGCTTTTCAGAAATCCAATCAAATCTAAAAAAAAATTATGTATCTATGTATGCAATTTTGCAAAAACATACGTGCATTATTCATAAAGTAACTCTTGACACCTTTGGCAAATGTCAGACGTTTAGATAGAAAGTAGAGCATGTTATATGTCAGGCACAGTTTATAAGTAATAGATAAATAAACTGAAGGTCCATGAGTGAAATAAGAGGCTTTTGGGGGATTTGTGAGAGTTCAAAAATGGCTCCAACAAGACGACCAACAATTCAGGAATTTGGTCATGGGTCAAGGAATCCTTCAGAGTTATGTGTATTTTTCTCATAGGTCACTCATAGTGCCTTCCTCATTCTTGACAATTGGCCTTAAAACCTACACACACCTTCATACCAACACATTTGACCTCCATGCCAAATGTCAGGCAACTGGGACTGCTAAATGGTATAGGAATTGTGGATTCCAAGTGGATGGGAAATATGGGAATAATTTGCCTCATGCCGCATGGCGTTGCACAACAGCAGGTAGACTTTGTTGTCATCTGGCTGAAAATCCCTGTGATTGTATTGTGTTCAAAAATATTCCTTTGTGAGTTTTTTTCCAATATACAGACTTCAGAACAACTCGAATAATAAAACAACAACAGAGACTTGTGTAGACACATATTGATTGGGCTGCCCATCTTTTTCGAGGACATTTTGACATACGGAGAGTAGAAGCCAAGGATCGAACCGCTGACCCTGTGATTATAAGATGACCTGCTCCACCTCTGGAACCACAGCCTTTGTCTAAAGACTTTTTCTATCACTTTTGAAAAGACAGCAGATAAAACAGATCGTACACTGAACACATGTCCTTCAGCTTTGTGAGAGATTTAGATGAATACGAGATTTAGTCAAATGTACACATCTTTATAAGACAGGACAAAATGGAAAAGGAGATCGTCTGATTGTTTGAAGACATTTTCTTAAGAGAGTCACATTAATACAAAGATCTATCATGGAATGCCAGTATTTTATATACTGCAGTTGTTATACCACATTTTTATATTCTGTAACATGTGTACATGGTAATATGCCAACTTTGCTTCAAAAAGTGTTCAGTTAGTTCATCCAAGAAAAGAAAAAAGAAAAAACGTTTTAAACAATATTTAACTCACCATGAAAGGATTACAATACCCTGCAAATGCTCACGGTCTGTGTCATAATGTCTTTAAGCGTTTACCTTTACCACAAGAGAAATCACAAAAACTCAATGCTTTGGGTTGGATTTGATCCTGTCTTCCATTTAAAATACTCAAAATAACTGATTCATGATTTACATAGTCCCAAAGGGAGGGGAGACAACACTGTAAAACTGCAAGAATTCATATCAGGATAATAAGGAAGAGATTTGAAGAGTTTCAGTCCAAAACGCTAAATATCCAGATACAACATAAAGGAAAATTGTTGCCTGAGGTTTATCATTCAGTGTCTGAGAAATCTACAGAATCCACTCTGTAAAAATGAACTCAATTTCAGCACTTAATTACGAATGAGTCATTTAAAATAATTTCATTTGGTTTACGTTTTTTTTTTTGTTGCTGTCAAGCTTTTTGGGGGTCATCTTTTTCTGTCACATTTTGGAACAAAACTCTTCAGTTCAGTTTTTACTGTAATTAACAACAAAAAAATGATGGAGAGAGCAATACCATAGAGATAGCTGATCCACTTTAGTGATTATTATTTTAAATGACTAGCATACATTAACACATTTACCTGCTTCAGTGGCTCCTCTCTGGATTTAACAGAATGTTATCAAAGCATAGAAAGGTGTCAAACCTCTTCTCTGCTAAACATGCAAAGGCCACGAGTTCAAGGAAGAAACATTGACTGTAAGTCAAGTACAGCTGACGGGAAAGAAACAGGATCATACAAACTGTGAGTTTATATATTTTTTTGTTTGAAAAAAATGCAAGTTAACCCTCTGAGACCCACAATAGGACATTTCCGTTTTTGTATATTTGTGTTTTGCCTTGTTAATTATCATTTTGTACAGTATAATCAAGTACACATCCCAGAAATCAGCACAACCTCAGGTAATGTTATATGTTACTCATTAAAGACTTATATACACTATAATAGGGGATATTTGCCCATAAAATAAAAATAACTAAAAATGGAGCTTGAATCTTTAACTTATTTTATTAAAACAGAACTTCGAACCATAATATTGCAAAAAACATTCAACACAAAAAATGTCACACATTTGTTGGGATTGTGCCAGAAGTGATAAGAAGCTTCTAACTTCTTCTGTTCATGAGTTATGCTTTGAAGACGGCTTGATATTTGGGATCGTATACGGCCCAGTGGGTCTCAGGGTGTTAAGCAGCCATTTTGTTTATTTTCTCTCTTGTGAAGTGACAGGATCCTCTTGGTATTAACCTCAAAGGTTTTTTTAATGAGATATTGGGAAATGAGCACACATGTCTTCTTGCCAACAGGTGGACGAGAAGATTGATACCACTCTTGTGTCTGTACGGTAAATTAAAGGCTATCTGGTTAGCTTAGCCAAGCATAAGATTAGCTTAGCTTAGCATCAGGTAATGATACGAGGACGACGTAACGTAGAAATTATGAAATAACATTTACAGGTAGGTGGTTTTTGTTACCTATGGATAAAGACAGGCATGCTAATTCTTAGCTAACTCCCCTTTTTCAGGCTTGATGCTAAGCTAACATCTCCTCAGCTAAATCTTGATCACACTGAAACAATAGTGGTATTGATCTTATCAAATTCTCAGCAAGAAAGGAAATAACTTTTCATTCATTTTCAATTACAAAAAGTGTTTTCTTAAGCGTGGAGAAGCAGTTTCACACCAAAACGCCTAAAAGTGACAGGACAGTTTCTCAAAGCGTGTGAATGTATGTGAAGGATGTGGTGTAGGATTTTACTTTTCAACACATTATTCTTTCCATAAAAAGCATATGAACTGGGAAGTGATCAAGAGGCTTCATCACCTCTTTGGAAAAGTGTCGTGTCGATGGCTCAGAGTCTCTGTGATTCGCAGTCAGCTGATTTTTCAAACTGCCCTTCAGCTTTACCACAGAAGACAACTTACCAGCACCAACACAGGTACATCCCAAGAGAAATCGCCTCTAGGTTAGGATGAAAACAAATACCATAGCTTTATACTTTAGCCACCCAGATCACAGTCAGAAAAATAACCAAAATAACACCCGAAAAAAATAAGTTAACATAATTTTGACACATAGAATTTTACAATATGTACATTATTTTTAAATTAAAATAGATTTGTCGGTTGTCTGATTGGGTAGGTCCTCTAAAGAGCGCTCCTTTTTGATTTTTTCAACCATCCAGTGTTATTCCACATACGAAGAGTTCCCATTGAAACGTCAAAGCCAGCCAATCAGAGTGCAAGTAAGGCTGCCATCGTCCAATCGCCAAATAGTTTGTCGGTGACGTCTTGGGACAGGGCCGAGCCCTTAATGCAACACTATTGGCAGACACTTCAACCCTGACAAAAAGAAATAAATATAAAATATATGTAATATTTCTATATATATTCATAAAACCAAACCCAGGATAGATTTTAATTCTGATGTGTGTCCTCTCCATAATATAATCAAACAGTGGCCTTGTTCCTATTGCCAGTCCACTCCCATCTCCATTTTTGTGTATTTTTGCAGTTTTTCGGGGAAAAAAAGAAAAAAGAAGTCTTCTTCGAACCTGTACATCTTATACGGAAGTAAACAAAATGTAAAAGTGCGTGTTTTTTGAATATGTTTTATCCACTATATCCAAAAGTGTTGCAGGCACTTAAGTCCTTCCCAAACATTGTAGGTGTTGTTCGACAGTGGAGTAGGTTGGTTGGTTTGGTTATTCCTGGATTCGCGTGAGTCGTTCTTGGGCCGATGCTAGCCCAGGATGTCCAGGTACACCGGCGTGGCTTTCCCCATGGCGAACAGGACCTTCTGAATGTCCTTAACGTTCAGTCGCTGCTGCGGTTCCCTCTGCCAGCAGCCCAGCATGATGTCGTAAACCTCCTTGGGACAAATCCGTGGCCGATCCAGCACCCGACCCTGGGTTATGCATTCAATAACCTGCAGAGGAGACAGGGCGGTGGAGTGAGAAAAAACATTTTCACTGACTGATTGCTTCGGTTCGGTCATAATGAGAAACGGCCGACACTGAGCAGACTGTCCTTTGAGGTTTGAACTAATGAAACTGAGATGAAAGAATAAACAGTATGCATTCACTCTTAAATGTGGCCAATATTAAAGGGGAACTAAGATCTTTGAGCCACAACACAAAATAACAACAGACTGAATATGTGCGGGGGTGGATGTTGGAGGTGTTGATAACATCGGGATTGATCATCTCTCTGTTGGACTTGTGCTCTAATTAGCCAGATGACTCACTCAGCTGTGACAATTTGACTTTATTTTTGTGCCAATTTCAAGCCGCTGAAGCCTAATAGAATAGATAGGGATCTATTTGTGTGTAATGACTGCGCTGCACTGAAAAACTGCACAACTTTCTAGTTGTTTTTTAGTTCAAGCATTGTCACCACATACACTTGTGTACTGAAACTAGCTCAAACATTAGGTTAGTTTTCTTAGGTTATTAGGCGTAGTATAATCACAAACAGAGGTAAATAGGAACAATGGAAAATCTCCCGTAAGACATATTATGGTGTCATGCTATTTCACGCTCTTACATCTTCTATCTGAAGCCTAATTATCTGGAAAGAATGTACAACACACCTAAGTTGTGCTTAAATAAACATCATTTATGTGTGGTTATTACTCAAGAGGCAACACCTGAAACAACAACCAAGAGGGAAAACCCGTTTTTATTGTTCCACCTGTTGCCTCTCGTCTTGTCACCAACAGACAGCCTTGAGACCCAACCGAGGGGATGGAGCATCACTTCTTGCAGAGACATATGGAGCCTCTTTGCACAATTCCCCAGAACACAATCACAAGTAGTAAAGGCTGCAGTGGTCATGGCAACAGCCTCCGCCGAAACAGATGTGAGGTAATTATCCTTGGAATAAACATGAACGTGTACTTTTATATGCAACAACATTCTGGTTTTACCTTTTAACCAAAAAAGACAATACTCCTTTTAAGTTGTTAACATAGCTGATGAAACCTAATTCCACTAATTCTATGTTTACATGCACACTTGTTTAACCATTCAAAACACAGGCTGGGTCGTGTCTAACAGACAGAGCTTCAAACAAGCAACAGAGCTTCAAACAAGCAAGAGGCAGAGGTTTTGCACACTGCACTTAACGAGACTCATATTCTGAATGCATCGTATACCAAAGAATGCTCATGAAACAACATAGGCATATATCATGAGTCTTAATAGGAAATACTATGGGACAACTGTTGTGGAATAATTTTCTTAGGTATTCAACCTTTGACACAGTTCATAAGCTTCTCCTTTCACTGTCTCTTTTCCCATGGCATAGGTCTACGGCCTTGGATATTGCTGCTATCTCTCTGAAAGAGGGGCAGCTTGGGCGCATTGTTGTTGCCAGCTTATGACCGAGCACAAGCTGCCATGAGATAGTTTATTGTTCAGGGACATCTAGAGGCCCTTCTTTTATCTGGAACGTAGGTTCCCTGGCGCACATTCTTTTCTATGGACGACAGCTCTAGTTAGATTCAGGGTCCATATTTGTTTAGTCTCGCTGATAAAGAATGTTGATTATTACACTCCGAACTAGTTAAACCTCGAACTACAGCGCTGACACCAGCCACGTGGCTCTGCTGGCTAAACACGCCATCATGATCTGCAACCGTAAGCTGGAGAGTCTGTGCAACATTCATGAGAATTGATTTGGCATCTCAACCTCTGTCAACTCGTGGCTCATGACATGTCTTGTGAATTCTCCGGCCGGAGCTCCTAATAAACCGTCAGTGTTTGCCATCAAAGCTCCGGCTCTCCTCGTGTCTCTCTGAGTCCTGTTTCCAACTGCTTCAAAAGTTTCCCTCACAACAACATAATTCATGATGTGGTTAATTTACAAACTTTGCTTATGTTTATTTGTCCAGTATGTTTATGCCAACTAAGTATAACTGGTTAGAAAGGTACCCCACGTTCCAGTTATTATTTGAAAATATAGTTTGCATATGATTATTATTTTATTATTGCATATTATGTTGTTTTCACATTCTATTGTTGTTCAGAAGCAGTATTAACTTGTACATGTAATTGCTCGTTTTCCGCCTGAAAGTGTGCAAGTGAAGAAAGAGTAAAAGAAGAACGTTTCTTCACCGGTTGTTTTAATACAGTGACAGAGCTGTTTTCATTAATAAAGTTGCTACGAGTGAGAAAACATAAGTGATGTCTGCTTGAGTCTTTAAGTGCAACAACTACAGTGAGAATAACTACTCATTCTGAACATGTAAAGCAAGCTATCAAACTAGCACAATGTCCGAAGGTTGGCTAGCTGTCTTGCTAACTCCACAGTGCTTTAATACTACACTGATTAAAGAAATAAGCCAAACTGACTGTTAGTGATGAGGCTAACAGCCCGTCATCTTAACTTCTATGGGAAGGACAAGCTACCTAGCTAAGTGAGAACCAACAACAACATATTTGGTGCAGTCCAATTACCACTGCAACAGTTCATTGTCCATTCTACTCTTATCCTGTTTCTATGCTATACACCAGGGGTGTCCAAACTACGGCCCGTGGCCCATTTTGAAACGGCCCTCAGCTAATTCAAAAAGTATAATGACATATGGCCCACAAATTAAACTTGTGCTTGTCATATATTGTACTTCTAAAATATATATGTACAAATATATTACACAGTATTCATGTGTTAATAAGCCCACTTTTCAAATAAATGTAGTCAATTAAAGTTGGAAACATTTTCAAACAAATCATAGTTTAAAACAAAAAAGAAGCCCAATAACTTAAATACATAACAAGCCAACACAGTCTCACGGCATTTTGTGTTATAGTCACAAAATGAATCTATTGATTCGTGTTCACCAACATCATCATACAGATTTCAGTATTCTGACACAGAACTATTTTAGAGGCAATGTATTTCTATTGGTAGTATGTTTCAAGCCTGCACCAAATAATAACAAATTAGAAGGAAAAAAAGATGACAAAAAATACAGATTTCAGTATTCTGAGGCTCTTTGCCATTTCTTTTCCTCGCGGACGGCAAAAGAACTCAGACATTATACAATTTAAAATAAAAGGGATAGGGTTAGGCTTAGGGTAAGATATTGAGTAAGAACATGTTTTTATGAACCACACAGCTTCCGGTCTTCCAAGACCCGACCGGATAAAAAGACGTGTTGCAGGCACGACACATACTACCAATAGAAATACATTGCATTTAAAATCGTTCTGTGTGACACGAATCAATAGATTAAATACATTTCGTGACTATAACACGAAATGCCGTGTGACTGGGTTGAACAAGCTTGAAATCTACCCTACATATTTCCTCTTTTTATAAGCAATCTGAGCTTCTGTTTTATGGGATGAGCTGCCAACAAAATAAATGAAACCCTATGAAGAGCTGTGATGGAGGCTGTTGTGTTTCTTAAAGCATTTTCAAGTATCAAGCAGAATTTACCTACATTTGATTTATTTTGCTAACTTATAACTTAACTGATGAGGCAATAAACCTCACCTCTAGTGAGTGGCCCATTCCTTCGTATATTTTTCTGTATGTGGCCCTCAGTAAAAAAAAGTTTGGACACCCCTGCTATACACAGTAGTGTTTGGCTTTGGACACGGCAGTGGTTTGTAACAGAAGAGGGGGCAGTGAAACCAAAGAGTATATTTCGTCCCCCTATAGCCCTATGCTCCCTGGTGGGATCATATTGCTCGTGATAAATGCAGCACGACTCCAGTTAACAAGCAACTCTGCACAGATAAGCAGCGGGAGCCTCAGATGCAGGGAGAGCCAGGCAGGAGGCCGCTGCTGAATATAAAAACTTGGAGACTAGTTCATCCTCGACCTCTGGTACTGTAGCGCTGGTATTTCAGCAAAAATGTTGACATAGAGTATTTGTTCCATTTGTTATCATCTAGTGTAGCTTCAGAGCTGTTCAATTCAGGCTGTTTCTCACCGCCCGGCAATATCTTGTTCTGTATCAGCTTGTTTCAGTTATTTATTGAACCTCGGTCATGTTTACCCTCTGTGAAATATATAAAAATATGTTTATTATGGCTGCACTATTCATTCAAATGTGTTGTGATTAATTGAAAACTCATTTCCCCTCAATTCAGACAGACCTCTGCAGCAGAAAACACTTCCAGACACCGGTTCTGGCCCTTTGTTTTGCTCGTATCTTGGACATTAAATAAAAAGTAGCACTTAAGATTTTAACTAATGCACCATCACTAACAATGGTCCTGTTATGTCAGCACTTCTTTTTCTGAGTTTTAATCTTTATGGTTTATTGCACTTAGTGTAAGTCGCTTCGAAAAAAAGAGCCAGATATTTGAGGTGTAATGTAATGTAGTGACATATTTGTTATTTTTGGAAACTTTGCAATCTCCTTTAGAATTTGAAACACACTTTTGTTGGTTTTAAAAAACACCTAAATGGCTGATGACTTCAAAACAAGTTAACTTTACCCTTAAATGCATTTCATTTTAACCAGTTATTTCCTTTGTAATGTGTCTTTGTTTATTATATTAAACTATTTTGAACTGATGTTAGAAATACATGTTTTGTGACCATTTAGTTTGGTGTTTTTAGCTTGTAAATGTTTCTACGTAATACGTGAAGTCTCTAATTCTTTAAATATATGTTAAATACTTTCTGTAAAGTGGCTGAACCCCTATTGTCGAACATCAGAGAGCTTATTGGGGTGTCCAATTTCACACATCTCCATTCTGTTTTACGATTGTACTTATACTTCTAAATGTTTGTAGATCAAATTAATTGCTTTGGCTATTTGGCAGCCTGGATGTTTGTACCGCTTTACAGAAAAGCAGTGAAGCCTATAGTGGAGGATAAGGCGTGTGTGAAACAGTTAACCAACAGTACCCATGAGTTAATTCATCATTGTCATCTACACCCATTCCTAATTGTTTCTGTAATGTATTATAGCGTAATGTGTTGGACAAATCTGAATAACTGACTAATAAGTACAATATTCCAATCTAACAGCACCTGAAGTTACAACTGAAACAGATTGTGGTTTTTCACTCTTTTGGCTATGACACACTGTAATGCAGAGCTCATCTCATTACATCCTGAAGAAGGTTTTCGGCAATGTAGTTTAATCAGCTGAGTGTTTCATTTACAGTGTCTCAAAAATATTTCAGCTGGAGAAGCACAGGAATATGGTAATACCGATTTGTGTCAAGCCCAATAACTTATTGATGTTTAAACTGGAATACTTATGAGTGCAATGCATGCCAGGTTATTATTTTAGGTCAATTACATTTTCTCAATATGCCCGCTTTACAAGAGTAAACCTAATTGAATTTTATTGATTCTAAGCAGAGCCTCCAATGAAAAAACAAACTCATCATGGGTGTTATGTAATGTGGCATCTTGTCTGGTGGCAAGGCGGCATTCATTTATCACCTCGTTGGGCCAGCGCCGGTCTCAGAGAAAGAAAAGGCACACGAGGCAGTAGATTAAGATGGAAAATGGCAGTGTTCATTTACATCCAATTGAGTGGTGCAGAAATGAGTCTTTAACCCCTAGATGAGTCAGCATTTTACCACTTCCTGTCCCCTTGCCTGGAAGACAATGTTTTTTTGAATGCGTTTTTGGTTATAAGCCTGAAATAAGGTCTGTGGTTCACACGAGCTGAAGAGATTTTCATGTCTAAAACTAACCCTCCCCTCGTAGACATAAAATATGTCAGTTAATACCACACAGGTGGATATCTTGGGCTTTTATGTGTCCTAAAAATGACAGCTGCTAACAAGTGTCTAAATGAGACAACTTAACGTCATCACGTCGAAAAATGTGCCACTTTTAGCTTAGCGTTGGTGAAGTCATGAGAGCATGTCACATAACCTGACGTTACCTTTTACTTCTTGAGATTGCATTTACGCTTTCACTTTTATATGAGTAGTGTTCTTACGTGATTATCCTGCTGAACAGACGTGTTAAGTACCATAAACGTGACTTGCCAAAGATCTTATTTGCTGCATTATTTCAATATCCAATGTAAAACTCATTGGCTTTTTGATAAGGGAACCAGTGGGAGGCTAAATTCAGTGTTGGCCTACAGTACATCATCATTGCACCATTATATTGGATCCCTACTTTAAAAACAACTTAATTAATGTATTTGTTTAGTTGTTTGTGATTTGAAAGAAAATGTATTACCATTGGATCACTTGGAGACGTAACTTTCAATGCGTGCTTGATGGCGTACAATCCAAAATACGTATATTATATCGTACTGTATCTAAATGCTTCTTTTACCTCGTTGTTGCCCAGCTGAAACCAAGGCTGCTTCCCATAGGTGAAGATCTCCCACAAGATGACTCCAAAGCTCCAGACGTCGCTTTCCGTGGAGAATTTCCTGTACATGATGCTCTCTGGGGGCATCCAGCGGATAGGTAGCATGGTGTGTCCTCCGACCTGAGGAGAGGCAAACACAGGGGATTCTTATTGCATATGAAATGTTGTGGCTAAAGCACAGATTAGAAAATCCAGTCATCAACACCACTCCCAGGCTTCGGGGGATTAACTGTCCTCGCATGTAACCGATCACGGGCTTAACATCTCATGAATGTGTGAAGTGCAGCTGTGTGTTGACACAACATAGGAAAATGCTGACTTATCTGCCACCTGCTCTGAATGTATTGAAACGCAGGAGGTGCAATTCTATAGGTTATTGTATTAAAACCACCTCTTTTTTCTTGATGAAAAATAGCAATCTGCAATCTGTTCTGTGCAGAAACATTGAATGGCGGATCAGAGTCTCAAACAGTGGAATTGAATGTGGTCTAATCAGTATTTTGAAATGAATCCAGTGTTAAGGAAACTGCTGAATGGATGCTCATAGTTAAGATGTGGATGCTAACGTGTTTGAACTCTACATAAGGATATGTAAACCTCATGCATTAATAAGTAAGGTACCAACAGAGATGGGGAAATATCGGCTGTTATGTCTCCAAACCAGCAACACATGAAATGAAGTCTGCATGCTGTAAATCCTCTAAGGCTGGATATTAATCGATCGAACAATCATTCATTAATCATCCTTGCCTCCATTAGCAGGCATTGTTTTAAAATCTATTTTCCATTCATGTCGGTGACGGGGTTTTAATGAGCTGGACAAGACTGATGTGGGAATAAGCGGGAAGTTCAGAATCCTTGGACATTATTATTTGATGATTGTGGAGCTCAGGCGTCAGAGAACACATTGACTGATTTAACTTTTGCTGGAGCTACTGTTGTAACAGCATGCTGAACGACTGCTGTGATTTCTTCAATCCTAAGAGCATAACAACTTCCAAATCAGGCATGCTGGCGCTTTGGGAAAGTAAATCAATAATTTGTTGGCAACTATTGTATATAATTCTGCTCAGATATGGGTTTCAAAACAACCAAGAATGATTGTATCTCCTATTACCAAAACTCTTCTAAGGTGGGACTTTTCAATCAACTCTGAGTTTGACCTTCTTCTAGCAAAATTGTGTCGCTATTCAAAATGTAGTAAGTAACTTCCAATCCATACTTATATATTACAGTGGTTTGTGCATTAATCACTTGAAAAAGATACTATTGAAAGCTTCCTCTCTAAGGAAGAAAGATATAAATTATATTTATGATCAAATGTTTGATAACAAGCCTAAAATCAAGAGTATAACATCTTGAGAAGGATTATTTCAAGTCCTGTCTTAATGATGAGAAGAGGGAAACCTTTTATTGAATGCAAAGGAAATTAAATGTTCTGACAAACCTTACGAGACTAAAAACAGGATTTCTCACAGAGTATAGCTATCCACCATTTTTCAATATAAATAGGATCTTGTGCTTTTCCATGTGCTGTAAATTACAGTCCAAAACCATATTAAGAAAACCTTTGGGATAGTAATACCTTGAATTTGATATCATTGTGTTCTGGGATTAGACAGTTATTATAAACATAGATACAGGTAGATCCTAAGAAACATTGTATGATGCATGCCTCACAATAATGCACAATAATATAAATAATCCAACCAACCAACCAACCAACCAACCAACCAACCAACCAACCCTCCATCCCTCCATCTAACCAACCAAACATCCATCCATCATACCAACCAACCGACCAACCATCCAACCAGCCAACCAAGCGAACAAAAATATAACCCCCCCGCCCACCAAAAAATTGAAAATGCAGAATATTTAAAATAAAATACAGAATTACTTTTAAAAAAATGGAAATAATGAGAACTGAATAATACAAAATCTTACAAAAGTACAAAACAAAACACTTAATTTATGATAATAATTTGAGCAAACACTTATTATGCAACCCAAATAAGGACTATTTGGTATTTGGTATTTGTATCAGGTAGGACACCTGATAATACAAATACATTATAAATGTTATCATTTAAGTGTCAATGTTGTGTTGTAATAATACAATTACATTGCAGTACATTAACTACTTATTGTATGGAATGAGCCCCATCACTTCTTCCCTTGATATTTTGTTGTGTCATTTATTTATTTTATCTCACCATTTTAGTCAAGATAACAAGTCAAGATGGATTGTTGATGGAGGTTATAATCTCTAAGTCTAAGTGTGGAAGTGTAACCTATCAGACACGCATCCATCATCCATCTATCATCACAACCACTCATCCATTCATGAACTCACTGATCCATATATCCAATCACACATCCATGCAGCCATTTCTGTCTCCGAGCTGAATATATTCTGAGCTCAAAGACAAACAAAATCTAACACACAGTCAAACACATCATAGACTCATCATTAGGACAACCTCTTGCTGCCTCACATGGTTCCTACGCTCTGTACCTCTGGCTTACAGCAAAATCACATTAATTTAATTATAATAGGCTCTTCTCCCAACTCCATTTACCAGCTCCAACATCTGTGTGCCTTCAGCTGTGAGCATTGTGTGGCATTTTAAGGATTGAGAAAAAGGAAAAAATCATCTCAAGTCTTGCTAATTACCTCCTGGTTCTGTAGCGCGCTCATTGCACATTTCCTTTGAAAGTCAAACACAATCTCTGCGTGTCAGCTCCACGCAGCACATGACTCTTCCGGATGTTTTAAAGAAACATAGATTTGTCATTCTGCCAAAAGGTTGCTTCTTCCTGCACGTTTATACAGAACGTCCTCTAGTTTGTACACTTCATCGAATTTTGTTGCTGAGTACGTCGCCTCTGTTTGTTTTGCCTTTACTTGTCCTCCATTTATAACCTTCTTTAAAGTCCTGCATTGGTTTGCACCAGTTACTTGTACATCAATTGCTTAGTTTATGTTTTAATCATTTCTGAGCTCTCAGTTACTAAGAGTAATAGAACTGAGACAACTCTTATGAAAGTATTAACCCTTAGATCAGGGGTGTCAAACTCAATTTCATCACGGGCCACATCAGCATTATGGTTGCACTCAAAGAGCCGGTTGTAACTTTAAGACTATATCATTAATTAATATAACTTCATAATTAACTACGTCTGAAAGCAGAAGTCTAGAGCAAATAATTGCAAGTCTCTTCAGTAAGAATGTCACAATATGATTTTAAAAGAAAAGCCACATTCTGGAAAAACATTGATTGTGACATTTTGAAAAAGAGAAGTGACATTTTGAAAAAAAAATCTATTTATGAGAAAAAGGCTAATTCTAAGAAAAAAGGCATATTTGGACAAAAAAAGTCAAATTCTGAGAAAAAGTCAAATTTGAGATGCATTGTGGGACATGTCGTTTATGGGCAACGTGCTTCTGTAAAGTAGCATGTAACCGTATAATAAACATATTATATTCTTTGCAAGCTCTTGTGGGGCCACATAAAATGAAGTCGCGGGCCGGATTTGGCCCCCGGGCCTTGAGTTTGACACCCCTGCCTTAGATGCATAAGTGGGTCTTTTTGGACCCGGTGAGGTGGTTTTCTTGAAGTATCTTTGTAATTACATTTTTTTATCATTTCATATTCCAGCTATTCCTCAAAAAACATGTTTTGGATATCATGCCATTCTAATTTTAAATTGACATTTTATACATTTTAAGAAATTGTAGATTTTGTATTACTACCCCAAGCTTCCATAAGTGGGTCTTTTTGGACCCGGTGAGGTGGTTTTCTTGAAGTATCTTTGTAATTAAAAAAATGTATCATTTCATATTCCAGCTATTCCTCAAAAAACATGTTTTGGATATCATGCCATTCACATTTTTAATTTACATTTCAAGAAATTGTAGTTTTTGTATTAGTACCCCAAGCTTCCATAAGTGGGTCAAAACTGACCCGCATGCATTTTCTATGGAATCCTATGGGAAAACGTTTTTTTTCAAAATATAAAAGACATTTCTAAAATTATAAATAGTGAAAAATTAAATATAAAATATTTCTAGTGTGAACCAAAATATAATACTAAATATTATACAAGAGATTTTTCTTAAGCAAAATGACAAAAATTGCATAAAAACACATATTATTCTAATACGGGTCCTTTTAGACCCATTTATGGAAGAGTGTAGGGTCCAGTCACTCGTGCATCTAAGGGTTAAAGGACATCTATTTAAAACCAACAATGGGAAGTCATCATCTTAATACTGCTGTTTATAAGTGCTGGGTTTGATAAAGTTGACTATAACATATTACTGGGTTGGATTTTCTGTTGGTGCTCAAATAAAAAAGAAGCAGCCATGGCAAGAGGAGTACCCCGAGTGTCTCTTCTTGGTCATACTCTATTCAACATGTATACCCTTCCACCAGCTCACATCTTGAAGATACACATCATCATAATCCCCTCTGCTTCAGCCCTGTACCAAAAGTGCTGATTCTGTGTCTGTAGCTTTAAATGCTAATGAGCTGCTGCTGGCCACGCCCCCTCTGAGAGATGACACAATGGTGCTCTAGGAGGTGATTCAGGTGATTAGGGGGGGGTTACACAAGCCAAAACACATTTGTGACATCACAAATCGGCCAGATCTGATCAGCTGATTTCAGACTTTTTTTTAGGTTTTTATATAGATGGATCAGGACAAAAAGAGAGGGGTCTTTGTTCCTGAGACTTTCAGAATCTTTTTACAAAGAGGGGACAAATGTATGTGTGACGGACATGAAAAATAAGTTTTGCATAATGGGGGACCTTTAAAGTCCAGAGAGAGTTTATGTAGCACACACTTATTTTCAGCTCATTCCTGCTTCACATTGATAAATGTGAACTCGCCTAAGAGCCGCCCGATACAACCTCAGTTTTCGACTAATCCCGCATGGGGTTAAGTGCTCTACTCAACTTTATCTCATTGTATCTCAGGGTTGAAATGTGAAGAGAGACCACTGTTGTGTTGTTTTCCCAAAGTCCTCCAGTCACAGCTTCACTAAAACTTGCCCAAGGGCATGTGAAGTGTTAGCAGAATCTCAAAGAGCGAAACATGCTTTACCTCCTAATCA